GGAATAGCCCTCAACAGGATTCAAACTCAGGATATTTTCACAGGAGTTTTGACAATGCTACGTTTCCTTTATTGCCTCAACGAATAAGGATGCCAAGTTTTGTCCACAACGGTTTTCGTTATCGAATGTCAGCGAACAAATAAAAACATAATTTCAAACTTTTACGTTATCAAAGGAAAATGGGCGATAAGTCAAAGCCCTAATATCACACTCCAAGCCACAAAATTCTCATTTTTTTAATCTCGGCACTGGGTACAGATGAAACCGACATCACGTTACAGTCGCTAGCCCCGGAGCCGGTCCGGACGACGCGCCCTTACCGGGAATCAAACTCCGGTGGTCCATCCACTTTTCTCAGTGGGATAATCGACCCACTTTAACTGGAATAATGACGTCATCCCCCAAATGACTGGGACGTTCTGAAGTACTCAGAAGTCAGCATAGCACCACTCAAGTCAGAGACAATAACAGCCTGTAATAAAGGTCCTTCCACTTGAAGAAGAAGAATAAGAAGGAGAGACAACTAATATCGCTAGTAGCACTGAGTGGTCTACTGCACGCTCAGTAAAAACAATGTAACTTGCTTATACACGATGGTTAATACGGCTTTATTAGTACACAGAAGCCCTATACAGGCTAATTTCGAAATCTGTTATCGACTCTGGTATGTAAATACACCACTACGAAGTTCAAAGAGAATTATAAGGACTAAAATCAAACTATCGGTCTGTGCAGTGAAGTCAACTTGCTAAGTAAAAACACTTAAACACTATTATACGATAGTGACGAAGTTCGTCAGGTCTCGTCACAACAGAATCGTAACTTAAACACAGCCTTCGAAAATATGAAAATTCAAATATTAACATCAAATATCATATAAAGTAAAGCCTTCTCGCTACACGCCATGTAGGCGCTTGGGGGGAGTAAAGGTATAGCTCCTCTCTTCCTTGACCTCGGCACTAGATGGGCCCGGCCGGCTTTACCCCCGGGAAAAGACCCCCTGTACCCATTGGATAGGAGGGTGGATGCGGTCTGGACGCAGAGGCTAGACGAAAAGTCCTGTGCCTGTGTCGGGGATCGAACCCCGGTCGTCCAGCCCGTAGCTAGTCACTATACCGACTGAGCTAGTCATATACAAAACTATAATTTTACGTGTTGTTTCGTACGTGCGTGAAACATTGGCTCTTGCATGAAGAGAAATGTTGAGAGTACTTCGGAACGAAGTAATGAGAACAACATTTGGATATAAGCAGAAATAATTAACAGGCGGATACGGTAAATGATATAATGAAGATCTTCACAAAAATATTGGAGAGAGACGCAGTGGCACGCACAACGGAGAGAAAAGAAATCCATACGTCTACAAAATTTTGGGTGGAGCACACGACGGAAAAGACCACTGACTAGACCCATGTGTAGATGGGAGAATGATATTAAAATGGACCGAAAGTAAATAAGATACTGAGGGTATAATCTCGATTGAACTGACTCAGGATATGAATCAGCGGCGGGCTCTAGTGATCACGGTAATCAACTTTCGGGTTCCATAAAAGTTTTGGTAATTTGTTGACCAGCTGAGGGACCACTAGGGCTCTGCTCCGTGAAGAGAGATTGTGGGAAACGATGGCGGAACCATCCCGACAACGCAGTGTTCACATCTGGCACCAAACACCAGTCGTGAAGGGCGGTGTGAGGTACGTACATTGCTGATAATTTTACAGTAGTAAAGTCAGATCGGGCACCCTTCGATCACACCTAGGTCCATGTATGAGGCTGTAACACACAAAGATGACATGGAACAGCGTTTTGTGCAGTGACGTCAGGAGGCAGAGCAGCCTTGCACCGTTCAAATAATCGATACCAATAATTGCACATATGAGCATTGCAATTCT